TAATGCCTTGTTTATAGTGACTTTACTCTACTTAATATTCTTTTTATTTTAAATAAATTCATGCTATTCTTATTGAGATGACTTGAGTCAGTGTTTTTTTCCTGACCTCCTTTCTCTGCAGGGCGATCAGCCGAGAGGCGGCCAGAAGGAGACGACGGGTGGAGTCTGATGTGTTTGGAGATTTATCTCGACTCCTGCCGCTTCAACCCACTGTCCAGGCTCACCTGGACAAGCCCTCGGTCATTCGCCTCACCCTCAGCTACATACGCACACAAGCACTGCTCAAAGGTACCAACAGTCAACACACACACACACAAACACTCACTCACACACACTCACACACACACACACACACACACATCACACACATCAAAAATGCTGGAATCTACATAGGAAAAGGCCTGACACCATTTCTGGTCAAAAAATGTGCTTCAAAATACAAAAACAGGCAAAAATCTTTATATATCTAAATATATATTTATGCAGATGCTTTTCATTGATATATGTATATTTCATATATACTGGGACATATTTTTGCAGTATTTAGATAAAATGGTATCTGTAAAGAAAAAGATGGGAAAAAAATACTTTAAGTTTTACAGTTTGTGTGTGTAAAAAAGTTACTTTCATTATTCTTTCCTGAGTTATTCACCACATCTATCAACACAAATATTTCCATTTACAATATTAATATGTATATAATGACAACAAATACATTTATACTTTATATAATGCAAATAGTACTATATCTAGTACTATATCTAACTAATATCTTCACTTAAGAGTCATTCAACCATGAATATGTTTTACAATAACAATAATTAAATATGTCTGCCTGCACAATCAAATTTATTTCAAATGGGCCCATGTGTTTAAAGACAGTTCTTGGTTAAATTCATGGCACACACACACAAACACAAGTCATGTTTTCAGGGGAGTTCGTGTCTTAATAAGACCCTCTTCTGCTTTAAAAAGAAAAGTGAATACAATTTTTTTTTTGCGCTAAACTGTGGTCACAAGACTGGTGGGTTTGAGACGAGTGTTACACGGGGGAAGTCCTTGATAACATGAGTAATAACACCTGGAATGCAAATACACACCATACACCACATCCTTTCTTAATAGTTCCCACAAATACTCATCTCACTGACAATGTTTAAGTTGTTTCCCATGAAAGGAACTATTTTCACAGCAATTATGCAGGGGGAAAAATCAGTAGCACAATAAATGAAATCACTGACAATCTTGTGCTGTTTCAGAGAAGACTGGGACAAAAACCGAGGCCAGTGATGTAGTAAAATATGGACAAGTGATGGAAGGTGGAGAGAACCCGCGAGAGTGTGACGGAGGATTTGAAGAGGAGGAGAAAGAAACTATGTATGTGGAAGCCTCGGAGGAGGCAAACATGTACCTGAGGATCCTGGAGGGGTTTCTGATGGTCCTGTCCACTGAGGGAGACATGATCTTCCTGTCTGACAATATCAGCAAGTACATGGGCTTGACACAGGTGCACACACACACACACACAAACACACATTTTTATGTAAATGATGTAATGGTATATGTTTAGGATTCAGAATTTACTAATTAAAACTATACATTCTCTGACAGACTGAGCTGATGGGACACAATATTTTTGAGTTTACTCACCCGGGTGACCATGACGAAATCAGAAGTAATCTACGCCTTACAGCAGGTGTGTTTGTGTGTATGTGTGTGTGAGCGTGGAGGACTATGTTCAGTCTGGGTTGTATATCCTGTGTTTGTGTGTTGTATTTTAAGAGATCATACTGGTTTGAACAGGTTTATCTTATTAAATTACTTATTTTTTAGAGGAAATTTGGTGCGGTGCCAAGAGGGACTTTGTCATGAGGATAAAAAGTGCTCTGACACACAGAGGAAGAAGCGCCAACCTCAAGTCAGCTACATGGAAGGTCGGTGAGAAACAGTCCTGCTTAAAACACAAATTCACACTTCTCTCTTCCTAAAAAAAGATTTCTAACATCGTGAAGCAGCAAAAAGTTTCCGATAGTATTTATTTGCCCAGTTTTAATCCCTCTCTCGCTGTGGTTTTAGGTTCTCCACTGTCAGGGCCGAGCGAAGGTGTGTATCGCCCCATCTTCGGTTTCCTGCCTGGTGCTGACCTGCCAGCCTCTGCCGCTCTCGCACACGCTTCTCAGCATACACACCTTCACAAGCCAGCACAGCATGGACATGAAGTTCACATACTGTGACCAGAGGTGATTCACACAAATGTATACACACACGCTTGACGGTACACACAGACATATATACAAGTGAGTTACCAACCGTCTTGTCCGTGTGCTTTATTGTATATAATAATAATATATAATATTAAATGGAATTGAAAAAAGGATGCGAAAAACCCTAAGTGGAAGTAATGTTACCCTGCTCATGTTTTACTTCAACACAGTGGAGAAAGTACCCTGCATACTTTATGACTTTTATTTCCATGTAATGTAATAAGGAGGAGTTGTGATTTCATTTTGCAGTGTTGAACATTATGAAATTGCCCAGAAAAAGGAAGGAAGATTAATAAACTGCGCTGAATAAAACAATCAAACCATTAGCAGCTGTCTCAAACAAGATTATTTTGTATTGTTTAAATCGCACTGACCCAATTACAAATTCATGCTGCACAGCTAAACATAATTCAAACCCACATACATTTATTTTAAATCCCAATGGAGATCTCAAATTTCTGGGCAAATGTGTACAAAATGATAAACAATACATCTAGAATATTGCCATGATGCCGTTATTTAAAACACGGAGCCCTGAGGTTGAGTGTTTCTCTCAATGTAAACGTCATATAGCTTCACTGAAGAGCTGACGCAAGCTGACACAGAATATATAAATATCTGATAGTGTGAGAGTGGAATTAGATGATTTTAACTTCTTTCAAGCTACTGAATGTGATAGAAGAGAAAGCTGGATTTTAAGGGGTTCATTTAACGTGACAAACAAGAAAAAAATCATTTAGATCTATAACTACTGCTTTGTTCCCTTTTTACCTTCCCCCTTTTTCAATTTTAGCCACGGCTGCATAATATCAGTCCATTTTAAACTTGTGCTGCAGCTGCTGCTGAATAAGTAAAATTTAATATGACGATAAAATAATTTGCTTATATTAGGTTACTTGAAAGAGCTTACACTGTAATCAGTATATTTTTGGACCATTTACAAAGCACAAACGTATAACATAGTAGTAATTACTTAACATGTGCTTAGTTGATACTTAAAGACTAAATTCTTATTGTTTCTGCTTTGTGTGTTTGCAGAGTGACTTCGCTGTTAGGTTACCGTCCTGACGAGCTGCTGGGCCGTTCCATCTATAATATCTGTCACACACTGGACACAAACTGTCTGACCAGAAACCATCTGAACTGTTAGTACTGACACACACATAGACACACACACACACATTACACACCGGTGAATATCTCATTCCAGCTCTCTCTCACTCTCCCTGCAGTGTGTTGTAAGAGTCAGTCAGTCAGCGGTCAGTACAGGATGCTGGTGAAAAATGGAGGTTACGTCTGGGTGGAGACTCACAGCGCCGTCATACCCAGCGTCCGGCCCTCCAAGTCCAGGTTGGGCGCCCACCAGCCACTCTGCATCCTTTGTGTTACCTATGTCCTCAGGTGTGTGCGTGTCATTTGATTTTAATCTACTTGCTGAGAATTAAAACTACCTTGATAAAGCTTAACCCATCACAGTGACTATTTAGTTGCCATACTAGGGATGGCTGTGTTGGTCAGGTCGGTCCACCACTTTGGTCCAAACAGAAAATCTAAGCAACTGATTAATGGATTAAGATGGAATTTTGTGACATTCATGTTCACAGGAGGATGAATCCTTCTGACGCCACCATGAGGCTTTGTGGCTTCAAGTAAAAAACAACTATTGGACAGACTGCCATGAAATTTGATACAGACATTAGGATGAATTAGTCAGTTTGATGATCTCCTGACCTTCCCTTAAGCAGCATTATTAGGTTAAAATGTAATAATTTGTCCAATACTTTAGTTTATGACCAACCTACCAACCATACCTGCAAAAATAATATTTCCATGAGTCTCAGCTGTACTTTGTGTTATTCTAAACATCAGTATGTTAACATTATTAATGGTGAGCATGTTAGCATGTTGATGTTAGCATTCAGCTCAACCCCTCTGCCTCACTACAGCCCCACAGACCCCCTAGCACGGCTATAGACACAATGTGGACGGTGCTACAAACAGAAATCAGTTTGCTGGTTACTGGCAGTGTTTTATTCGCCCCTTTGCTTACATAGAATGGAAGTGAGTATTAGCCAGTGTAGACTTGAAGTGTGACATTTGGGTGTTTGTTGGTGCGGTTAAAGTTGCACTGATGTGCAAGATTGAAGAGTCAGCAACGAAACAATGATCTTCTTAACATGAGAAAAGTGTTATGTTTATGCTATCATTTTGCAAGTCTTGAGCAAATGATGGGGAAGTCCCCCAACCCTAACAGAGCAGTCATTTTATCTGAACAATTATCTTTCCTAAAACCTAACTGAACCTTTACCATAGTGTTGTCATGTGATAAATCTGATTTATTTACACAGTGACAGTGAGCTTTTGTCCTGCTGATAGGAGCATTAGATTAGAAACCGCCTCTATGTTTAGTTCTAAAATATATTTTACCGTCATTGATTACCAATCTCAAAGCAGGTTTCAAATCTCTGCGTTTGCTTCAGTAAAGAGTGGCATATGAAGCTAATAACGTATCGTTTGCTTCAGTCTTGGTCTATAAAATGTCATAAAACTGTTAAAATTAGTAATAAAGTCCTTGTTTTGCCTGAACAGTTCCAAACAGAAAGATATTGCATTTAGAATTATATAAAATGGGGGGGAAGCAGCAATTCTCACATTTAAAGAACTGAGCTGGAACCTGAGAAGCATCTTTGCTCAATAAATTGAAATGATTTTGAAAATAGTTTGCGATTATTTTTGTGCTGTGTTGCTTTGTTAAATGGTTGAAAGTAAAACAAAAACCAATGTGTTTCGAGGCTCTATAGTAGAGGTAGCCCGTTGTAGCTGTTTTTAGAGTATTATTATTTATAAATGGTTTAATGCTGTATGCATGTGTGTGTCTGTGTGTGTCACAGTGGTGTGGAGGAGCCGTCCCTGCAGCTCTCGTTGGACCAGACAATCCCAAGATATATGTGCTGAAGCTGCACTCTGAAGACAACAACAACAAAACCCTCGTCCAAAAAAACAACTATCTTCTCTACCTCTGTGAATTCTTAATTCTTAATATTTTCATTTATCTAACTTTTATTAGACATAAAACTTTGCAATGTAAAACGACTTGGTGTGTGTTTTTGATTTGTCTGAGGATATCCACTTATATTATTTGATGTGTGCTACTATAGATATACAGTAGCTTTAATATATTTGAAAAAAGACAACTAAAATGTTTTTTTTATTTTAAGCTGTTTGAGCTCTTCAGTTCACACTTTTCACACTGTTTTGCATAGCCGTTGCAATAACACAACTTCTGTTACTCTAAAAGAAAACTGGAAGCTATAGGTGTAGACTGTGGTTGACAGACAGTTGACGGGGCGTAGTGAGAGTTGAAATTTGTTGATGAAAGCATGCAGTGTGACTCTTTCCTGACCTCTCAGGGCCTGACCTTACTTCCTGTAGGGTTTCCTTCTGGGCCACCTGACACGTGGGGTGACATCTGACTGTCAAGCATTAACACAATGTACAGTACACACACACACACACACACACACACACACACAGAGTATATATAGAGAGATATGCATTGTGCTGATGAGGAGATGTGAGCAGACGCTCCTATCTTTCTCTACAGTGCTCACTTATATATACTAACAAAAACAAAAACATGTAAATTGGTAAACTGACCCAATTTAATTTGCCTATTGTACTTTGTTTTGAAAAGGTATTATGGATTCTTAAAGTCCCAGTCTCATGACCCTCCAGTATGAATTCAGTGTCAACTTCTGTATCTTCACACTTAAAGGATCAATGTGAAGGATTGGTGGCCATCCTAGCGGTTGCAGATTGCAACACCCGTTGTGTCTGTTTTGTTTGACGACGGGTATGAGAAATGGGCTGTGTAGGTGTATGAGACCTATGGTGCCACAAAACTTGCAAAAACCTCAAAGGCCTTATTTAGACCAGTGTTGGTTTGTCCATGGGTGGTTCAACATAGTGGACTCCATAAGCAACCTACATTGTCTGAGAATAAAAACAGCTCATTCTAAGGTAACAAAAACACAATGATTCTTATAATTCAGGGTGATTATACACTAATAAAAACGATACTATG